TTGAAATCACATTTATGTAGAAATTAATTAAGAGTGGATTAAATTTGGAAATGGAGGGCTCTATGCCATGCAGTCCGTTGAAAGTTAGCTGACCTCTTGGATGAACATACTGCCTCCCTCTTCAAGATCAAAAAATAAACCAAGCAAGAAACAAGCGTGAAGCAGGTAAGGTAGCAAACAGAAATCTGCTTCGTGGAGGCAATCTGATAGCTATCCTTGATCTGCAAAGCTACAGCCCTACGTTCTCATATGTACACCATGTTAGGAAACATGTCATAAATTAACAACCAGCTGCAATTACATGTGTTTAAACATAATTGCTAGGGACATCAGCTGTGAGGATGGGACATGGCTAGAACTTGCTCAGGAATATGTCCAGTGGCAGGATTTGGTATTGCCTGAACCTTCGGGTTGTGCTAACATAGTGGTATACTGTACAGCATAGTGTCTGTGTACCTGAGTTTGTTCATCATGCCCTCATGTCACATCATCATATATCAATCTTACTGCACATTCCATGTTTTATTTATGCTTGTAGATGCAAAACAGATCTAGTGTACACAAGTCAATTTACAGAAACTAACCTAAACCTGTTACCTAGTTCAGATTTGTTGGCAACTTATGAAAGTTACTAGCATAAAGATGAAGCATGAACATGAGCATAGAGGCTACTGAAATTTTAATGGGAAATTGTAGCATTTACCAGCTTCACACTTGATTGTGCTGTATTCATTGGAACTGTGACCCACATCCACTTTGAGGGACACTTTGACATGACAGTGTAACTGAACATGCACTCTGTGAGCTTGAGGAACTGTGAAGTAACAGCTACAGTAAACTCAGCTAGTGTGAGGCAGTGAGAATTCAGCAGCAAGTCCCATCAGTTCTCCTGCTTTCTCCCCTCCTCCTTTCCAGTCCTACATGTTTCTGAATGATGCATTGAGGTCAGTGTTTAGTGCCATCTGCCATGAATAACGCACACATACTTGTAGTATACTACACTTCCTTCACATAGCCACATCAAAATGCTATCGGTCCTCACAGAATAGACAAGGTACTTTGCAACTAAGGTCTGGTTGTGTAAGATTTGAGGCTTTCACGGCGGTGACTATGAAGAAAGCAGTCTTCTGGGATTTGGCACTGTGTATATGTGGTGTTAACCGATGTTTCGGAGATGGAGGCGATACGTTCCTCCGAAACGTCGGTTAACACCACATATACACAGTGCCAAATCCCAGAAGACTGCTTTCTTTAAGGTCTGGTTGTTCATTTGTCACCTACTACATAGCTAACTTTCGTGCAATATGTAACGCTCGACATTTCATTGCTATGGTAACCCAAACTTGTGTAAAGATAATGGTAAATCACACACTCACATAACAGTGTATTTGGAACTCTGTCTAGTGGTACAGGATGAACCCTTTGGGGAAGGGGGCAGAAGTTGACACTGCTACATTGGCTCAATGTATCTCCCACCAAACAGGGTATCTGGCAAGTGTTTGTTTGGGACACCAGCAAATGCTAGAATGGTACCGTCACTAGGCCACAACTGCTTCCTTCCCAGTCCTTTCCAAATTCATTACTCTTCAGCTACCTTATCATCTGACACTATACACTTTTGATAGTGAAAGCATTGTTGAAAAACCTAAAAAAAAATTATTCTTCCCCAGCCCTTTTTACTGCCATCTTCTGTCTCTTCATAGCTACTCTCTAACACATGAGCCTCTTACAGGTATGGGCATGAGCAGACTCAAAGTAAACAGTGTTCAGGAAACTGAGGAAGGATATGCATGTGGTTGGAATTCCATGCAAAGTGCAGTCTCGAGCAATTATAGTATTTACCATATATTAACTATGATTTAAAGGTAGGTACGTCAGAAACTATGTTGAGGCAATTTCTTTAATTTTTGTAGGCATATATATATCTATATACACACACTTGTCTTATAAATATCACACTCAACTATGTTTGTACAAATAACTTTAATTACTCTACATCTACAGTTTTACAACAATTTACATCTCACAAAGCCTGATTAACATGGCACAGTATTAACCCTTTCCATGATACAATGTGATATATCATCCAGAAACACAATCTGTGTTCCCTGACAATTTCTTTAATGCAAAGGAACCTGTCTTGTTGTTTGGCCTGCATGTTTCTATGGAAACATGTGAACAAAAGGACAGCATTGCAACATGGATGTAAATTGAACATGGAAAGGTTTAATGGTACCGTACTACCATACAATGAAGTGGAAGCTATGGAACTGTACCAAATGGAGAGGGCTTTATGATGTTTGCATTCTCTTCAGATTTGTTACAAAACTAACCTGTGACGTTTGTCACGATGGCATATGTCTTATTACGATATCCAGTTAAATTACAAGCTGATCTGAAATAAGGACACTACCTGACTGTAATCTATACTTACACTTATGGCAAACAGTGAACAATTAGTGCATTAACCCCTTCCATGACGCTTTTAAGAATTTTGTTCTGTTAACATATTATGTAATTTCTAATGTTGAGAAGCCACAAAACTGCAGCTGCTGAGAGACTATGAAAGAGGTTCCTTCAAATTTAATTTGAAGCATGAAACAAGCTTTCATCACAGTATCATGGGTCCTATGGAAAGAGCTATGAAGGTACAAACCTGGAGTGAAACCCACATTAAATTTTCTTTGTAGAGCTCTCAACTGGGGAAATCTAAACATAGGAGATTTGACTCTGAGATAACTGACTAAGGTTCAGTGATATTATGGTAGGAAAACTGAAGGAAAGAGACCTAGGAAGATAAAGGCATAAATGGGAGGATAATATTAGAATGGATTTGAGAGATCTAGGCTGAGAGGGAGTTGGCTCATTTTATCTCAGGATTGGGGCCAGTGGCAGCCTCTTGTGAACCCCGTAATGAACCTCTGGGTTCCATAAAATACTGAAAATTTCTTGAATAGTTAAACAACTATTCATTTCTGAAGAAGACTTAGCTTCACAGAGTTAGTTAATTAGGTGGACTATTAATACTTAAGTTTAGGTACATTGAATGTGGGTTCTACTATATATAGTAGAAAGTGCACAGAGAATAAAGCAGTCCTACTGAAATTGCACTTGGGTGTTTTCTGAATGGAATAAAATTTATATACAGATTATACTACATACATCTTTAAGACAAAATAAATGTGTATTTTAATTGTATTTTAACCCTCTCCATGATGACTTCCATTTAGAGTAATTATTTGTTTCATGTGCCTATGGTAACATGTAGTTTCTGTTATTGAGAGTTGGTCAGGCATTTTCTTTCACTGCTCTCCCCAAACACCGGACCAGAAGGGCAATGATTTTAAGTGAGGTATCTCAAGCATAGCATGGAAAGGGTTAAATGTTTAAATGAACACAGTTTCATAATATGAGAGTAGAGTGAGCATGTGGTTTGTGCCCACAGCGACTGAACTTCTTTAACTCAAGCATTTTTGACCACAGAATCTATGGAGGGTATCTATATATATTGCTGTAATTATATGACCCCTCTGAAGGCTGACGTATGAAAATTCAGTTCCTACTCAGAGAAAAGGCACTAGATCAACTGGTTAATGCTGTCTGGGGGAACATAACTGGTGTGTATTGTGAGAACACAAATACATTCTGTGGGTAGAATGCAGAATTTCTTAATATTAAAGCAGGTGGTACGTATTGTAACAACCAGTGTGCCTGGCAGGATTACTTAATCTCTGCAGGTTGATGATTCAATAGGTCATGTTGCATCTACCTGAACATTTCCAATGGGCAGTTTTTGTTTTTGTTTTTGTTTTTATTTTTGTTCTCTTGACACTATGATAGGTATGTAAAGTAGAAAGAAATGTAACAAGTATAATGAGCACAGGGGCACAGTCGGTTTCAGATTTGTATGCATGACGTTGACTTGTCTCATCTGTTTCATTCTTGAGACTAGTGGTATCTCTCTGAATGGTATATCCAATACACAAAACTTCTTCCATTATGTGCTACTGTTGCTAGAGGGGTTACATAATGAAGGGTACAGTCAAGTTTAAAGGTGATGAAAAGTTGAATGACCTATGTAACTGTTCCAGCACTGATAAATACAAATACACCAGTATTCACTGGACTGTTGGAAATGGGACATCAGAGAAACATTTCTTATTTGAACATATTTATATATTTATATATATTGTTGTTAATTTGTATGTAAGGCATCGATTCCTTGCTTCTTTGGAGAGCAATAAATTGATGCTTGTTGAACATCAGAGCTACACATGCGATAGTTTTCAGAAAGTAAGGAACAACTGGTGTGTAGTTACATGCTTTCCATGCAGCATATTTCTTATATTTATTGCATCTGTGAAAGAAGGGATTGATTAATGTTTGTTTGTCATAAGCTGCAGTGATGGCTCAAAGGAGTTGCATGTGACTCGCAAGCCACAGTTTGGCCATGTCTGTTGTAAGACATTGCAGAATATTTGCTCCTGTACTGCCTGGCACACTTTTCTGCCTCTAGAAATGAAAGGGTTTAAGATCCCATTCCTCACTGAACATTATAGTTTGTTGTTCCATGTGAGATGAAATTACAGGGCTGGCAGGCAGACCTTACTCAATGGTAACAGTGTCAGTACTGGAAAAATGCAGTGCTGTCAGCTTGCCCACAGCAAGTATAACTGATGCATAGGTAGTAAGAGTTAATCAACCTGAAGTTCAGTTAATTCAGGGAATAAGAAATATTCTTAAATATGTTCCCCAGAATCCAATTTGTAATTATATGAATCAATGAAACTGGTAATGGTTGAGAATAGAATCTGGAAAGAAAAATAGAGAGGTGTGACATGACTCTTGACAGTAGAGAAGTGATATTCCTTTCATTATTATGTCAGTTTACTGACAGACTGCAGGCTATAAGGTAGACGCTTGGAAAATATCAAGACTTAAAGCCCTAATGAGGATTAGAAGAGATGACATATATTTTTGGAGAGCCTTCCACACTGATTCATAGCAGAGTCCAATGCTTCAGAGAAATGGTAATCATCAGGGAATCATTCCCTGATGATGTTGACAGAGGATGTTTCTGAAACGTTAGACTTCTCCCCAAAATATACATATCTTGTCACTCAGAAAATATTGAACATATTTTGGTGATTTTATTCAGTTTAAAACAGAAACACTGAGGGAAATCTATTCAAGAAATATGCAATTCAGGCATGGCATGTTATGATTAATGTGTATTTACAAGCAAAGAGATGAAGTGTGTGGTACAGTGCGCGGCTAAAGGAAGCTTGTGCATTTTTTTGCTCTCATACTTGATGCAGAAGTTCAATAGAAATCACATCTAGCTAGAACACATGTCAAGGGATGATGTCTGAAACATTTATTTGCATTACCAACTGTAAATGCTCTGTTATAGTTAAACTCTCCGCTGTAATGCTCAAACGAGAGTCTATCTATATTTATGTATGTACACAAAGTGACATCTGACATACAGCATCTATCAAAGCCTCCTACTGCATGTTTAAGTTAATGGATACCTTATTGCAGAATTGGTTACTCAGTGAAAGAATTCAGCCATTCCAGAAGTCAGGAGGCTGTGTGACTTGCCTGATTCTGTACTTTCACCTTTCTCTGTATTTAAGAATGTTTCTAAGAAGATTCACTGTTATTTGACTTGACCTGGCACATCTTACCTTCCCACAGTTGTAGTATTTACTAGTATATACACTTTTTTAGTTTTGTTTCTTTAGTAAAAACTTGTGACGCTCTGCTATATACACATACACACTCATACCGATACCCAATACCAACTGGTACACACAAAAGCACTCCATCTTGAGTGTAGAAATGTACATTGCGTAGGGGAGCCATGTCCATTGCTGTGTGCAGGGTCTACTTCTTGCCAATGTGGTCGAAGATGGAAGCTAAGTTACTCACGAACGGCGTTGCTCCAGGGACAGCGGCAGGTGCAGCGAAGTCTGCCCACTTGGTGAGATCGATACCTGGGATTACCCCACTTCGACATGGCACTCTTGGGTTTCTGCAGAAAAGAGATGCAGTGGTGCATCACACATGAATACATGTAAAAATATTATTTTACCCATTGTTTTGTATGAGTGTGCAATGTGGTCTCTCACCCTAAGGGAAGAGCATTGACTGAGGGTGTCTGAGAACTTGCTGCTGAGGAGAATGTCTGGATGTAGGAGAGAAGACAGGAGGATTTCTGTTCTTCATCAGTTATATTATTAGGATGATCAAGTTAAGGGTGTGTTCAAGTCAGAACGAAGGGAAAGCCTATACAGAAGTTGTGATGGCTGATACTTACATCTCATGGTCTGGTAGTACCATGGGATACACCTGAATGGTGTCAATTAGGTCAGTGTTGTCACAAATGACACGAGACAGCTTTGCCTTCCTGATCTCCTGCAGTTGCTCTGAAAAAGAAAACCTTCTTTTGTATCCTTTCTCTCTAAAGTTACTTCTAATATTTTGCTTTCTGCCAACACAGTCCTTGTGCAGATATGCTAGGTATTTAAGTTCATTACATATTTCAGCTTTCTGGTCATCATTAGGGATTGTTCATGTATCTTTATTTAGCTGATCTTCTCTTTTCCTGACATCTGCCAGCGTTTACATGTTGGAGTATTTGACGTTGTTGCCCACTTACATATCAGTGCAAAGCCTTTGTACTCATCTTAATTGCAATATGAAACTACTTTACAGTAGAGCAACACAAGATGACACTATGACATAATATAATGTGACGTGGATGGCGCAACAGGAAGTAGGGGTCACGTGAACTCTGTGTTTCCGTGAGTGACATCACATACCGCACTCCTTCCATCATTACGCAACGCTTGGTAAACACCCCTCCCCGCTAGGCTGTGACATCATGCAGCAACTGTTGCTAGGCAATTGGTAAACACGGCAATTATGCAACAGGGAAGCGAGATGCGTTTTCTGCTGTCCGGATGAGGGTTTATAAGGGAGACTGGAATGCGTAAGAAGAGAGTTGAAATGTAGCAACTGCCGAAGCCAGTTACTAGAAAGAGAGTTACTAGTATTCAGTAAGAGTTGAAGTCCAGCAGCTACGAGTTGAGTTGTATCGAGTGATTGGAAGTGACTACAGCAGAAGTACTAATTGTGATGCTGCAGATGGCAGCAGTTGTGAAACTGTAAAATTATGAATTGTGTAAGTGTAAGAGCGAATGTGGAATAAATTTGCTACATCCAAGACGGCGTGAAGTTATTTGTCGCGTCACATGCCCAACACGTGACAGTTTGGTGTCATGTGACCCCTACTTGCTGTTGCGCTGTCACAATATCTTATTTTGTGTCCAGCTTCAAAAAATGCAATTAGTAAACCATCATGTACTTTCTAAATCACGAACTGACCACAAGCATATCTTGTTCTGAGGGAAGGATATAAGTTACATTTTAGGACAGTGTTTGTTTTTCTGCGAAATGACATCATGTAGTCTGGTAGATGGGTACTATCATTTTGCAGGAACATACTGCCTCCATCATCAGGGCAAAAAAAAAAAAAGAGATCTGAGAGGGGAAATTTGTATGTAATATAAGGAGGAGAGTAATGGGACAGAGATATACATGGTCTAATGGGGGCTTGTAACTCTGAAAGAGGCTGGCCTTGGAATGATCACAGGTGCCTGAAAACATAGTGTTAAGCAAACCTTTTGTACCTTAAGGAAATGAAGCGAGCAGTTTATGATACTGTAATGAAGAACTCTGTGATTTAAACAGAGTAACAGTGTTTTTAGGCCAGTGAAATCAAAGAGATTTAAGATTGGCCACACATGTAATTTACCTGGAGTAAAGGAAGAAGGCTGGTTACCCAGCTCATACCAGAACCTGTCGCCACGTCTGGAGTAGCTGAACTGCGTGGCAATAATGCAGGCAAATGTCGGTCCGACCATGCTGCCAGGCAGGGGCCTCTCAGAGACACCCCCAGACCAGAGGTCCACGTCAGAGGGATGCCTGTAGTCCAAAGAACAATCTCGATTTTACTGACTATGCATACCATGGACTTCAAAATTTAGGAAAAGCAGCTCCATTTATGCTATGGTACTAAACTTTGTGCAATAACAATATGCACCATGTGATCTGCTATCTGGATGGACACTGCAGTATCAAGTCAGTATATGTTCCATTATCTTTTATTGCTGCCAACTTCAGTTCCTCTTCATAACTATTTTTTAACACACATATGAGAGAGTAGTAAGCATTAGCCTTATATGCATGTGTGTGTGTGCATGTGTGCAAGCATGCATGTGTATATTTGAATAACACACCAACATAAAATATTGTACAAGAAGCCTCCTTTACACTCCAAATTCACTCTGTATTGTATCCACTCTGTAACAATACAGAGTGGATTTGGAGTGTAAAGGAGGCTTCTTGTACAATATTGTATGTTGCTATGTTATCAGCTATCCCTTCAATAGGCTGTGGAGGCCCCTAGGATTGTGAAATGTTCAGTCTCTCATATTTTCTAGGCCATCGGCTCACTGCCAGCCTGATGTGCTGGCAGCCCTTTACTCCCAGGAAGATTCCTGGTGCCCATTTCTGTTAGAGGCTGAGTTGACCCCAGGGCTGTAGTGTGGCTGAAAGGATTAGGTCAACTGAGAAATCTAGTGACCTCATTGAGAATCGAACTCCATGACCTTCCGGCTTGTATTATAGTGCCTCAACCAACTACGCTACCTTGTGCTCACCTCATTAACACCTACCTGAAGAAAATAATTAATTACATGATATATTATTGATTTATTTGGAACTGGACAGTCCAATAATATGAGGGTAAGTCAATAAGTAAGTTACGAATGGATATAGAACTTAAACAAATAAGAGTACTGATTTGAAAAATGCTTTTACTTCTCAACCTAATCTCCCTGTACATTGAGGCACTTGTCCCATCATTTCATGAGCCCCTGAAAACCAGCAGCGTAAAATTCTTTGGGCTGCTGTCGGAACCAGGCAGCAACTTCCCTTTCTACAGCTTCATCATGGGGAAAAGGTTCAGCCGAAAGATGATGTTTAAGAGGGCTGAACAAATGGAAGTCGCCTGGAGCAAGGTCAGGGCTATACGGAGGATGGTCGAGGGCTTCCCACTTGAAATCTCGCAGCATCTCATTTATCTTGTTGGCAGTATGGGGACGCGTGTTGTCATGCAAGAGCAATGTGCCTTTGGTGAAGAGTCCTGGCCGCTTCCGTTGAATGGCCTTATGAAGTTTCCTAAGGATGTTACAGTAGGAGTTGACATTTATGGTTTGTCCTTGAGGCTGGAATGCGGTGAGCAGTATGCCTTCATGATCCCAGAAGACTGTGAGCATCACTTTCCTGGAGGATGGTGTCACCTTAAACTTTTTTTGGCGGGTGACGCAGGATGTTTCCACTGCATTGACGCATGCTTTATCCCGGGCTGGTAAGGGTGAACTGAAGACTCATCACCTGCGACAGTTTGGGCTAACATATCATGTCCTTCATCGTGGTAGCGATTGAGATGCTGTAATGCCAGACCCATTCTTTACATTTTGTTTTTTGGGGTCAGCATGCGCGGCACCCGTTGTGCACAGACATTGTGGAAACGTAACCTGTCATGCATTATGAGGTAGGCCATGCTGTGTGAACAACCAATAGCAGTGGCTATAGTGTCTATAGTTACCCTTCTGTCTACTTGGGTTAAGTCTTCAACCCGTTGCACATTCGCCTCTGTGGCAATCTCTGTTGGCAGGTCGACGCGGTGTTCATCTTTGATATGTGTCTGCCCTTCAGAGAACTTCTGCACCCAATTGTAAACAGCTTGACATGACAGCACTTCTCACCGTAGATGGGAAGCATTTCTTTATGAATATGCTTGAGGGTTGTACACTCACTCAGAGGTGCCGCCATCTTGCAACTGCTGTTTCGCTTTTGTTAACATCAATTCTCTCGTGTCAAATGTCATCAATTGCCACCAGACTAATGCTGCCATCTAGTGGCGATAGCCTCAAGTGCCTCTTTCAAACATGTAGTACTCTACATCAATTTGTAACTTACTTATTGACTCACCTATGTACTTGGATGCATGCGTTCTGACAGTCTGCATAAGACTGGTGCTTACAAGTAATACTGAACAGGTCATAAATAATATGTAATTTTATTTTCACCGTTACTTCATCTAAACATTCAAGTGTTACTTACTCATAGATTGAAGCATATCTCCTGATGGTTTCATTAGACATTGAGCCAAAAAGTTCATCAAAAGAGTGAGCATCAGGAAGTCCACAGAATTTCCTGAAATGGCAGAGATAAAATTGTTATCAGTCACTCTAAGTATTCATGTGTTTAGTTAACCCTTCTGCACTAAACATGAGATGTGGTGCTGGCAATTATAGATTAGATTTATTTGATGTCCAGAAGATTCACAACAGAATCACCTCTTTGCAGCTCATTGTTTTCTGGAATGTGACATTGTTAAGTTTGGTAGACAAGTATCCAGCTGCAAGAAAAGCACGGGGTGTTACACCTCATAAGACAGTCACTGTCTTGGCAACTGTAAATTTCACATCTCTCTACAAATGATAGTTTTTGGAAACAGAAATTATGTCTCAACATGCATATAAACTAGCAGAAGAAGCTTTCTTCTATTTAAATCTTGGCATGGAAAGGGTTAACAATTCATCCCATTCCAAAAGCTAGTGTGACTGAGGACCCTTGTTGGCACATTCTGTTCTCACCTGAATTCCATATATCCAGGGAGACCAAATTCACGACCTCTCTGCATGTTAAATGAAGCCAAATCCATCCCAAAACGTGCTCCTGGTTTCTTGAACAAGTGGTTTGTTACCTGAAAGTGAGTTGTATATGAGTTGAGAATGAGATCAATTGATGCATCTCAGTACATTGCCTCCTGAACTTCTTTTTGACTGCTGGACTAGTCTGTCCATGAGAAATATTTATGGAAATGGCGAAACAAGCAAGTCAGAAAATTTACATATGTGTAGCATCATGATTCTTGTGCATTTGATCCCTTCTGTTTAATTCTCTTGAAAACTGTAAAACTTGTGGAAAAATCATATTGGGCACAAAATGTATTCCAAACAATTTTAGCTCCTGTAAATATTTAATAAATTAACACTTAAAAACAAGTGCAGAGAGACACATAGGTCATCAGTTAATACTGTCCAGTTATGATGAAAAATTTAATGTGCTGGAAAATGTTAATAAAATTCTCCAGTATCATTAAAATCTGTTCATCATTTCTCAAGTTGTTAGGTGCAGGTGGGCAGACATAGTGACAAGCTAACTGACATATTTGTATAACTTATAATTCTGAAAATGCCAAAGACAGCAACTAAAATATAACATCTTCTTAATTTCGGAAAATAAATAATGTTAGATTATACAATGACATTATGCTGATTATAATTCAGTAGGGATGGCAGGCAAGTCGGACATTTTCTCTTCAATTTTCTGCATGAAAGATAGCATCACTAATCTAGCAAACATCAAGTTTCTATGGCATTAGGCTGATTGAATGGATCCCATAAACTGACTTTCTTAATGTACCACATCCAGATAGCAGTGGTGGGCAGAATGTGTGTTTAAGTTAGTTCACTGGTTGGTACTTGAGGACAGTTACGTACAATTATGGTATTTATATGTTTAACAAATATTTCCTGTTGCTGGTAACCTTACTAGTATCCATGCAGCTTCTGAAGTCCCTTATGAATTCCCGTAATGCAGCAAGAAACAGTTTTGAAATCACTACTTCCATTGTTGGTTTACAAATTAACCCCTCAAAGCACAGTGGTATCTACATGTACCACCTGCATTAACATTCAAATGCCATGCATTTTTCCCACACAATATATTTATGTGTTTTGTATTATTCTCACAATAAATACAGGTTGTTTCCCTGAAGAGAATTAGCCAGTTTGTCTTTGTAATGGAGATGCATATGTTGTCTATAAAGTAGGAGCTGAACTTTTTAATATTATTTAGGTGAACTCCAGGCTCCATAGTGTTAAGTTAGTTTCCAGTCTGTTAATGTGGTCCCTCCCTTCTGTAAAACTGAAGTCCATTGTTGTGGGTCTTCTGTTTTACAACAGTCAGATCTCTGTGTCCATGACAACAAGCGGAAGCTTGTGCTGATCTAACATTTGGCTTGTCAGTGACATCCCTTAATGTGTGTAAATTACATTTCATTACATGTAAATTCAGAATTCACAAAGAATTTTAATTTAGAAAAAAAAAACAATCTTTTATTTTTAAGCACTGGTAACAGTTTCATANGTCTTTAGAAAAAAAAACAATCTTTTATTTTTAAGCACTGGTAACAGTTTCATACTTAAATCATTTTTAGCTTAACAGACCAATTACATTTACATCATGTGCTTACATTGAAAAATTATCCATTTTTTAATAATTACAAAAATGTTGCATTCTGCATGGCATTCATGACCTTACTGAACCAAATATTCCCCAAACTCTAGAGTTCCCACTTCAGTGGCTATGGTCTGAACACTTAGTAATTTTGGTGTCAACCACTTACCTCCTGTGTGACAGAATCATCCATCGCTTGTGCAACCTGATTCATTAGTCCCATGAAGTACTCATCCAGAACCCCAGCACGGTACAAGTCGTAAGGTTGTCGTATCAGGTCAGAAAGCCGTCGAGAAGCTGCAAGATAACAATACTGGATTAGCATGGCAACCACGGAAAGCAGAACGTTTCTCATGCCAAAGTTTCTGACAGTTTTGTATTCTGTAAATTAAACAGTACACAGATTCCTATATACATTGTTGTGGTTTTGCAACCTGAACTGATTTAGAAGTTCAATTACGTATTAGGGACAGAAAATTTATTGCTGACATCAGCAACAGGTGGCAGGACTTCATCAAGGCATGCAGTATTTCATACATAGAGCAATGTAGTGAATACAGTTTTGAAGTTCAAAGACTCCCCTATTTAGTGTCACATGTCATTTTTCTTGAGAGTATTCATGAAATTTGATTTGATACTCTATAAACTAAGCTTCCTCCAGCACACTTTCTTTTCTTAAAGGAGAAAGAAATAGGCTTATGAGATCACCATGCTGCATGTCTGAGCTCCCTTTCAGCATTAAAGTAAAAAAAGTAAAGTAAAGCTATCCCTGCAACAGGCCGTGGAGGCTCATAGGGTTGTGAGATTTTGAGGTTCCCACATTTTCTGGACAATCAGCTCATAGATGGTGGCAAGGTTGTCAGCCCTACGTGCAGGCCGCCCATTACTCCCAAGAATATTCCAAGAATATTCCTGGTACTCATTTCTGTTAGAGGCTAAGTTGACCCCAGGGCCATAGGGTGGCTGGAAGGATTAGGTCAAATGAAAAAATCCAATGATCTCATCGGGACTTGAACCTGTAACCTTCTGGCTTGTAGCATAGTGCCTCAACCAACTACGCTACTGCATGCCCCCTCCCTTTCCACATATGAACCAATCAATTTTCATGAAATTTGTTACTAACCTTATGCTGCTATAGGCCACCCCAACCTCATACTTTTTATTTCCTGCAGTTGGTACTAACATCACTGCAAATGCACAGACATGTGAAGTGGGAATGCCAATAGGTTCACTTAATGTAGGACACTAGGGTGCTAGATCTTGGGGGGGGGCAACATTTATTGAGTTATTAGGCTTAATAATACTAACTGATTAACCACTGAAGCCAGGCAGGTGAAATCGGGACCCAGCTATATGAAAACCTCACATATTCTGTGTGAACGTTTATAAACCAGGATTACAAACATAAAATTTTGACGTTGTACCTGTCAAATTTAACATGGAAACAATGTATTTTGGGAACACATTCTTTAAAGAAGAAAACATAATACTACTACCAGCAGCAACAAGCAAAACAAGAACAAAAATAACAATGATCCCAATTTATTTACAATTTAAATGATAAAAACCTTTTTGACTCTGTAGGATTCACTAATATGACCATCTGCATGAAGTCAGAATGCTAACTCATGAGTGAAATTGTATTTTGTTGCTAAATTATACAAATATACCTTAATAATGACAGATTTATATGACCAGAAGTCTGTGTGACTGGAGAATGGCCTTTATGAGTTCTTGTTATTAGGATGGGTCAACATGAAATGTGTAGACCACAAATATCAAATGTCATTGAAATCCAGCGAGCACTTTTCGAGATGATGCTTGTAGACAGACATACAGACTGGTGATTCTTGCATGAAGCACATAAAATTAATGGATTCCAAACACATATACCTCACCCACTTATTAGTTTGTTAATGTTCCTGTTTAACACAGCAGCCTCAATTTTTTTGTGTTATTGTGAGACAAAATTGCAAAGTCCAACAGCAAATATTCCTCCCACCTGTCAGTCAAAATAACTAGCTGTGGGCTGGATAGCTGAGAAATCAATGTTCAGACTAGCCTTGGGGCCCACCCAGCTCTTTCCCAGGGAATGAAGCTGACCACTCCACCTCCATCTGGTGCAGATGTTTTGAATGAGTACTAAACTGCCCACACGTCTTCATGGAATGGTGCATAATTAAGCACAGAGCCTTGCCTCTTACTGTACTGCCAAATTACTGTCATTTAAGTCCTAGTGGCATACTTGAAGCATTTCATTAAAATGTTCCAGTTTATTATAAATCATTAATAATAATAAAAGTTGGCTAATATTGTAGTAGTTTCCATAATGATTTCTGGACAGCTCAAGTAACATTTCACTTACCGATGAACTTGTGTGCTTTACTCCATCGCTCGATGGCTGTAGGCAAGAGAGAATGACCAAATCTGAAGGCAGCTGCAGCGAATGCATCGATTACATTGGGATTGACATTCGGGTCGTATCCATCCCAGTATCCCTGAAGATAGCAGCACAAAGCAATAAAGTTAATAGTAGGTACTCTGTGGTCGCTGTGGGAAGACAGTGCTTTGCCAGGTCATATCATCCACATATGGTGGCAGCACTGACATATCACCTGTGAAATTTCTGTTCATTGTTGTCATCTGCCTTCCCATATTGGTGATACTGCATATGGTGAAAACTAAGATTGGCAACATCCTGAGCTTCAGTCAGTGTAACAATTGCAACTTTGGTATTCACGGCCGCAGACAGACTATTTCATTATAAATATAGTACTATCACAAATGACTCTATTGCCTTATCCTTCTGTCTTTATGGATTAGCCTCTGTGCTCTGCTCCAAATATAGAACAGTGACTCACATTGGCAGTTGGTACAACTTTCTGGATGGGAGATTGGCCACTGCAAGGCTTCTACTTACACAGGGCAACACAAACACAGAAAAAATGTGTACATTCATCCATGCTTTGAGCAGGATTGAAACCCCTGATCCCAGTGTCTAAGCTTGATGACAGTATATACTGTCCAAATTGGTGGCACTGTGATCAGCACAAGTTGACTCTCATTTAATCAATAACTGAATGGTTTGCAGCAAAAATATCTCAGCTCCAGTGAAAAAGAAGTTTGAAACATCAACAGGAGCATAAATGATTCAGTTCCAGAATATGCTGGGACATTTGAAAAAAAGAAACTGCATTAGTGGTGCCCCACAACGTCTGGCAAACTGGATATGAATCCATTCTGTCACATATTACTGAGTCATAATATTTTTGTTTCTAAGTAGGCATTATTTCACATTTGGAGTGACAGTATACATATCTCAACTGTAGATGTTACTTGACCTCTTTCTGTGTAAGGAGTCCAAACTTCTCCATGACTTCTTTGCCTAGGATGATTGGTAGGAACTCGTTGTAGGTTATGTGTTGGATCTCAGCAATGACAATGCGCCGAGCCTCCTGCAACATGCACACAACAGGGCCATGTAATGCAGGGCAAAGAAAAGTAGTGCTTGCCAAAGTCATCTTGTCTGTGCTGGGGATTACCTGGTATAGCGTTTCATCATCCCAGTGAGGGTTGATCTGAGACAGAGCATGAGCCACACGATTGTGTTCTCTTGCCATGAGGGTGTGCATACATGTCAGGACCAACTGCTCGTTCACTCGAATCTCACCTGAAATATTCCAAGTCATACAGTCAATGCACTTCTTCCAAGGAAGTGCCATATTGTTTTATTCTTCCTGCTTGAAGTGTATGGTGCAGGTTTCACAACATGACGTTTCTCTTAGCTCAGTGTCATGCTCGCCTTCTCACATTGAGACTCTTGCTACAGTTTTCGAAGGATTTGCGGAAAATGCCGTCACCAGAAATGTAGGTTACATGAGAATGAATCAGATTAGGCTAGATAAAGTAAGATTAAGTTCAATTAAATTAGATAGTCAGGCTATGCTAGTTTAGGCCAGGTTAGAGTACATTGGTTTATGTGAGTAAGATTAGGTTAGCTTAGATTAAATACTATTATGTAGTGTTACATCCTATTGTGTGTGATCAATGAAAATGTATAAAAGCAGAGTCACACATCGTTATGTAGTAAGTGTCTGATTGTGTCAGAATGACACAGATGTGTCCAAATATGTCACCTATCTTGCAATAACTGTACATTGTGTGACTGTGCCTTTGTATATTTTCAGGTGTGGGGGCACTCTTGTCAACGTGTGTAGTCTTGTCATTACTCCGATGACAACCCACTTCTTCGGAACAATTTGTTGGCCCTGAAAAGGACCGTGGTTGCTGAGATGATTGATCGGTGAGGTAGCGCGGCGCGCGCCGGTAAGGAGAAAGGCTAGTTGCGGTGAGTGGAGTGGCCGCAGTGCGACCGTGGCAGCTGGTTGCTTGGTTGCCGTGCGGCAAGTGATGGAGGTTGCTCGATCGCAGTGCNAAGTCATAGATTTCTTTTATTTTTTTGTGTGCTGTGCAAGTTATCAGCACAGTTGCATCAGCCATAAACTAGTTAACTTATGAAACCTGTGATTATAACAGAACCTCTGTATAGGAATGCATTGTTTAGACCTTCATCCCGATAATGGTTTACAGCCACAAAATTATCCAGCAAACATTATTGATCCTGTATATCTCTATAAATTTCCATGCTTACCTCCCTCAAAACAGTACATGGACCTGTTGGGACGTGTACAGCCCTCATCAGGTATATCCAGTTTAAGTGGCAGTAGATCCTTCAGTCCAAACTCTGTGAATACAGGGTTCATTCGCAAGAGGCCACCATATCCTGCCCTCAGGTGTCTGATACAGAGATAAGTTCAAATGTGAATTACATGTGAAGCCTTTAGTAACATGTAGGAGCAGACATAAGCATCAGGTGGACATGAAACATGACATTTTGAGTTTAGTACATTAGTATCCATTTTAAAGCTTTAACTGACAATCAGTTCCTTCATAGACTTTCACTAAGGGACAAAAGAATTCTGTTGCATGCTCTTAGTACTGGACAAAAAACTGAAAAGAAAATGTACAAGTTTTTGTGAGTACAGATATATTTTGTTTTGAGAAAACCCACATAATAAAATTAAAATGTAATTAATTGAATTTCACAGTTAAGAAATGTGCTATATTTCTACAAACACAGCTGAAGTATTGGAAACCTGACATTTCAGAACTGTGTTCACATAAAGCTGAAGGATGTATCTCCTTTCTTTTGCTGACAATGAAAGGGTTGTGGTAATATTTTAAAGTATATCACAGGTCTATTTACATTTAAAGACAGTATACATTTTGGGACCACATAAATTTAAAGCAATCTGTCCTGATACAGTTGTGTGGTCTCGAGTTACCATGGACTCCTTTGAAGCAGGGGTGGAAATGACTTTTCAAAAATAGGCAGACACTTCAGAGAAGAACTCAGGAAGGCACTGGAGATCTGTAAAAATATATACATTCTCTCATGTCTAAGGTTTTCTTGGGCAACTGCCTCAATTTTGAAGAAACTGTGTCACAAAACATCTTCACTTTCTCATTTTTAACTTTATAAAAAAAAAAGGTTAAGGACCTAATTCTTTCTGGTGGTTCACCATGGTACCCAGTACCAGACTCTATTTAAAAAAGTCCAAATAGTCATTTATTAAAAATAAATTAAATACGTTGTTCTAAAATGATCACACATTGACACAATAGCACAGTGTTCCTAACAAATTCTTGAAAACTGAGCAACAGTTTTAGAAGTTGAAAGGTGGACACATACACAGATACTGGTAGCTTTCCTTTTTCTAAAAAGAAAGGGAAGGAAGGATGGATGAAAGAAAGAAAGAAAGAAAGCAGGCACTGAGTACAAGTACAGAAAATTTAGAAGAATATTTCAAAATATAATATTTAGAGATAATTCTACCAGAAGGAAGCAACTTGCACATGCATGAATCCAGCACATTCAGGAAAATGTTTGTCTAAGCAGTATATGAGGAAAGCACTTAGAGGACTTATACAGGACACCTAGCATTGTCAGGTCGGTGAAGTGTAGGAATTGACATGCTGCACAATGCTTTCTCAGGTGGGGGACACACAAAATGAATACAGAGCAGGTTGGGAAGTAGGCACTTGGAAAACAAGGCGCAGTACTTGGGCTTTAGTAGTGGCAGAATTTGGAAGTTCATGTTTCCCTTTCTGTTACTTAATGAGATAATTGTTAATTATGTAGTGAGATGTTTCAGACATTGTTCCATGTATAAATACATTCACTAACCTAGCAAACTTTTCAGAAACTCCATAAACCGTGTTGCCATCTAAAACTCCTGTCAGAGTGTTGAATGGAGCCCTTGAACCTGGAACATTACAGATTAATTTAATTTCAGCAGGTTGTGCTGAAGTTTAAGTGCAGTATTCAGGGCAAGTCATATTTAACTCTTTGAGGTCCATCTGAAGATTTCAAAATTCTTTTCCTTTGTCACATTACAAAGACAAATCACTCAGCCCTGTTTATGGAAATAATTGCTGCTTATTGTGAGAATCATATAGAACACATAAATAAGCTGTGTTGGCAAAATGCAGAGATTTTTAATGTTAAAAATGTAGGTGGTACATACAGTTACCACTGTGTTTTAATGGGTTATAGAGGAAATAAAATGTAATAGTACAAAGTGTAAATGACATACATATACTGAAATCTTCTGCAGCATAGGCACCAATTCTTCTAGCCACAGTTTGAACGACACAGCATGGCATTTTGAAATCTGTCCCTTGCGAAAGAGAGACCACCACTAGACCAAGCAATTTATGTTGTTATGAACTGGCAGAAAGTAATTACTTTTCTGTTACTGTCAGGTAGCAAAGGTTTTATAATTTCATGCCGAGTTGAATTTAGAACGGTGAGAAAGAGATTCTTGATGCTAGGTTTTCGCAGTTAGAGTTTAATGTTTAACTTCAAATTTTGGAAATAACCAGCATGGAATGTTGAAGGTTTTCCAACTTTTTCTTGGCAAATGCTGCAGTTCCAATATTTTTTGGGGGCAGTTGTATAGGGACTGCCAAACATCCCCCTTAACAGATTAACCCTAAATTTGGCAGCTGCGGTGTTTGTTGAGATGTTGGAAAGCCTGCAACATCTGCTGCAGCATATACTTATTTTGCACTTGTTAGGCCACGATATGTTCACAGTTCATCTGGTATCCTTTAAATGACATGGACAGTTCCTTACCAAGCCTGCAGCCAGGCCTGACAGCAGGAAAGCCCCGCACAAAGTCCTGGCATCGCAAACCAAACAGGCTGTAGAAGTAGTCGTCGGCTGGGATATGTATCTCGAGGCAGTAGGGGTTCTTAAGATGGGCTGGCCTGTTGCAGCACTCCTCAGGCTCATTGCGGTTCAGTGGGTCTGCAATCACAACACAGGACACCTCACGTCTGCACACTAGCACAGATCTGATGACCCTGCTCAGACTGTATAGCGCCGAATGGTAGGGCGATTAGTGAATCGTGAAGGATGTGGAAGGAAGCGGTTGCGGAGAGACTGAGGAAACCCACTGAGTTCAGGATAGGTGGTCTCTTAGCCAAGATTTGACTCTGCCGAAATACATAGCAGGAACTTTGGTCCATAACAGTGAAGATTCATACTGTGATCATCTGGATTATGAAATGGTAAGTGGGTACCAACGCATCCAAAAATCCCCTGAAAATGGAGGCAGTATGTGCCCATCTACCAGACAGTACTGTGTCATAACTCAGAAGACCACAATCTCACATCACAAATTTAGCGAAATTATTATTGTTTTTGTCGTTAGTAGCAGAAATAAACAGTTAAGATGCTTCTAAGAATGAAGTTCTCAGTCTGATGATGCTTATGAAGAATTATTGTGTTTTCGGGTATGACGTGGTGTAGTTCAGTAGACTGTTGCCAATCTTCAACAGCGACCTGCTGCTTCCATTTCCAGGCTTGAAAAGGGGGGCGGTACATTCCTCCAAAATTTCGGTAAACATCTGCCAAACTACACGGTGTCACATCCCAATATGCAATAATTTATCGTTAGTGGCTGCATGTTTCGACCTTAACAATCGTCATCAGGCTCCGATACAGTCATCCTCGTGAACCTCTTCTCTCGTCGATCTCTTTGCCCCCCTTCCCACATAATTTGACTCTTACATTAATCTATTACCAAATTTCCCTCAATTCCCTCTCCGTTTTCAATGAATGGCGTGTATGACAGCTCATTCAGTGTCTGAATAGGTTAAGACGCCCTTTAATATTATCCTCCTATTCAAGTCTTAGGTCTCTCTAGTAGGCCCTACCCTACGCTAGATGAATCTAGTCCAATCCCTCATGCCTATTTTCTTACGGTCGCTTTTAATATTATACTGAAATATACGCCTTGCAAGCGGTCTCTTCCCTTCATAATTTCTGACTGAAATATTGCGTGCAGTTCCCGCCCATCACATTCTCCTGCCAGACAGGAAGATGGCTCGCTCATGTCTGCTCTGTATTGTCTCACGAGCACTTCTCTGCAGGGAAGTGAAAGTACGAAACAACAGCCGCAGAAATGAAGGCAGCCGTGTCGGCCGCAGACGCGTGCGAACGCAGCAACCGGAACCACGAAGTGCTAATTAGCTCGCAGCTCAGCACTGCACACGACCATACCAGCGAGGGTAACGTAGCGGCAACCCTGATGAGGTGCTCGGTTCGAATCTCGGCGGGGAGGATCTCCCTCTGCAGGCAAATGCGGGGTTGGAACCTCAGTCGTCTCCTTGCACGCTCTTTCCAATTCACCGCTCCATCCGACGCCATACCGCCTGCGCCGCACAATATCACACAAAGGCCAGACGATCCTGAGCCTGTTTCGTGGGGGAGACAGGCTGCGTAATGCTTTACAGAACTGTACGGAGGCAGAGAACAGCTGCAACAAGTTCACTCACCCAGAGGCGTGGCTGTCAGCGTGTAGTCGTGATCCATGAACTGCCCCCAGGCCACCACCATCACCGTCCCCGCGTGGTCATGGAAGCCCTCGTCTGGGTGTACCGTCCTGGACACGATCCTGGGCAGTGGGAGCTGCGTCCCCATCACACTGATCCTCGGGGCCGTCATGCCGTCCGCGTACAGGGGGCCCACCAGCCTGGGGGTTAGACGTGAAAGCTCCAAAATGCGTTCGCAGTTCTTTCGGGAAACGTTCATGTGTCGGCGTTCTGCGCCAACTTACCTTGTGAAAGGTGTCATGGTGGCGCCCCACGTAGGGTGCTGCAGGTTGGAGCACAGGCCATCGTACCGCCGGTACTTCCCCGGGCGGCATTCCACGTTCGCCAGGAACGGCGGGCATACCTCCCTGATGAGCGTCTTGGACGTGTCGATCAGCGGCAGTCCCTTCTCGATGTCTTCGTAACTGAGGCCGTACCTGAGGACCACAGGAGACAGACGTAAGCAAGTTCTTAGCCCACATCTGAACCCAAGACCTACCGAATTCGACCGTCACTTTCGGTGATTAGCTCAGTAGTCACTGAGTGGGTTGAAAATCACTGCCTTCTGTAATGTGACGCCGTGGAGTTTTGGAGAGAGCTACTGACGGATTGCAGAAATGAACTACGAATATACAGTACTTCGGACTATCTGGTGGGCGGGCCACAGTTTGAGAAACACTGCTGAACCACACTGCGTCACATCCAAGAGTACCCGTTATCTTGAAGAGGGGGAGGCCCGAATCGCTCTCACCCCCACCACACACGGGGCATCATTCTGCGGCATCAGTAGGGTCTGTTTCCTCCTGGGGCCGTGCGCCGTGCATGGGACCAACACTAGGTCACTATCACAACTGCTCAGCCAGTGGGCAATTGCCTTCCCCCCCACCCCAGATGTAAGCTCAACTCTTCAGTTCGCTGGAACGTAACTTTGCTGCCCGGTGGATGGCAGCCTTGCGCTAAATTAGGGAAATCTCGAGTTTATGTATCAACCAGGAGTATCCTTATCCTGAGAGATTTATCGTGGTTTTCTCTCGTACCTGCATGCAAATTCCGGAACAGTACCCCACATTAGGACCCCCGCCTGCCACTGTCGCCCAATTCGGTATTCACCATTCGACACTGCGTAATCTGAGCTACTGACAGGACCGTGAGTAGCTCATTGACGCATTAGCCAGATAGCTCAGTAATGAAGCGTCGGACTGTGAACTGTTCCGACGCACGGCACGTGCTAATAAAATGGCACATTAGACCATTTTGTTGACTGTTCACTTGTTACGCTGTTAACGCAGGTTTCGGAAACAGGAAATGGAAGAGGGAACTTGATTATGCTTCCGCGTAAGGATCTGGAAGGCGGCTCGAAAGACAGAGAACCAGGAAGGAAGCCAGTCAGTGTGCTGGCAAGCCAGGTGCCTGCAGATTGTGCTACCGCTGCAGTAACCTGCTCAGTCTCGTGAATTTCCGTCAAAAAGCAGAGGGCCATGCTCTATGCGACAACCGTACGAGGCACGTAAGTACACTGCGTGCGGGCAAAATGCAGAGTTTCGAAAAGGCGGTTCATATTTTATAAGAGTTGAAGGTTGCTTACGTTTTGGCGAGGTTGATGGATATGTCCAGCAGGAGCTCTCCCACCGTCGCTATCTCCTCCGTCTTCCAGATTGGCGTCTTGGGCTGGGCGACGTCTGCAACAAGCAAGGCAGGGGTGTGCATGATAGGGAGGGCCTATAGTATCAGGCAAAGATAATGACGAGATGGCCACGGTGCCAGCACAGTCACCACGGGTCCCTCCCGTTTGCTTCCCCTTACGTTCTTCTGTGCTCATAGACTCCAATAGGGAACGTTGTGTTTCTACGTCTCAGAACAAATCTTTTTCAAGAATTATTGGTTGCTGCTGTGTTCCACTCACAGAAACAGCAAGCTTTCTTTCATCCTGTCGGTTGCTTTACGCTCTTTGCTTTTCCACAATAGTTACTATCACAAGATTACAATGAAGAGGACGCCAGCTCGATGTGTTGTTACCATACAACGCCGCGTTTCTTCGCTTAATGATGCTGTCAGTAGCTCAGATTACATAGTGTCGAATCTGAATGAACAGAGGGACTGAGGGACCGCAGTCAGGGTAGCCAGTCGCTGGGCTATGGTTTGAACCCAGTACCTCCCTGAATAACGTCGTGTTTGCATAACAAGAGAAGGGCCCCTTGCCCGTCTTCACGTCGGCATCCAGACATGCTGAGAGACCCCTGGGAGACCTAGTGTTAGAAGGGAGAATGATACTTAAACGGATCTTAGAGAAGGGTGAATAGATGTAGAGTTCCATAAGAGACAGGGGAATTCTCAACCAACCGACCGACTACCGCTTTATCGAGAAGAATTGTGCACTTAATTATTTTGTTTATGCTATAAACAAGAAAAACCTGTACATATAAACTTCCAGAGAGCGGAAACCGTGGGAATACGAAACTCTTTGCATGTCAGTTTGAAGTTCTGGTTCCTAGTCTCGTAAACTCGGACTGCATCCGCATCAGCTGCGACGCATTTATCCCTCGAGTTCCCCTTACTGACTCCATTGCACTTGAGCATCGCCAGCGCACGGGAACTTACGTTATCTAGCGCTACACTTCTCTCTGACTACCAGACACATTGGCCCGACGGGTTTCCGCGACTGGAACTTGATGCAAGCAGGCCGAGTCGAATGCTGGGGGTTTGGTAACGTTTTAGCAAACCCTGCAGTTGCCATCTTCAGGATTATTAGCAGCTCTTTCGCATCCCTTGTTGGAGGCGAAGCTGTGATTGGCTGAACAAGGCTATGGATGCTACCAATAGGAAGCGGCCACCTGGTTAGTGGAAAAAGGCTTCGCCTAATGCAACAGCTGTGTGAATGCCACCAGAAACACTGCCAGAGTCACGACGCCTGCAGAACGAAATTGCAGCGACTGCCGAAACATGTGGAAACCCTCAACACTGGACGCGGCCTGGCCCCTGGCGCCGAAGCCACACCCCCAGGCTGTTCTCACAGTGGCGCCCTACCAACTCTGCGGCCCAGAGTCCTGGCTCGTATCCCGCAGACCCGCCATATTAGTGTCGCAGTAGTACAGGCATTGACAGCTGCTCTCCACGTCTTTCACATACATAAACTATGCGTCCGTCTCCATGGCAACACTATCGACTGTTCCCCCTTGCGCTGGTTTTCAGGAAGGGGTACCTGGACCCACCTTCTCAAATACGAACTCGAGACCAGCAGGTCAAGAGCCGCTAGCGTGGTGAGGTTCTGTACTTACTGATGCGCTTCCTCGCCTGGATGTACGCCTGGTTGACGGCGTCGTAAGTGATGCAGGTGTGCTGGCCGCCGTAACCACTGCAACAGGGAGAACAGCTTAACTAAGCAAGCTTCATGTCGTGGAGACATACGGGATGGGACAGTGGAGTGGAATGGAGTGGTCAGCTTCACAACCCGGGGAACGAGCCAGGAACAATCAAATAGGAGGCTGTGGAAAAGAACAAATCTTTTGCCCGTGTCGGGATCCGAACCCCAGTTCCTCGGTCGTCCAGTCAGTAGCCCGTTGCTATATCTCTGCTCCGCGGGGCACAAACTGACTCCTGAGTATCTGTTACGACCACCATACCACACAGACCTGAGGACAGCTCAGTTAGTATAGTGACTTAAGTTACCGACTAGACGACCGGGGGTACACAGGTTAGCGAGGTCAGGCTGTATCTAGACTTGCTGAGCAACTGGCAGTTTCCTTAAGAAGGGCTTTGCTCCATAGACTTAATTAGTTATATTGTGGTCTTCTGTATTATGACACCTTGTGCTCTGGTAGGTGAGTAGGACCGTTTCGGAGGAAATTGTAGCTCTCATCATCGGGGTTGAATTCGAGGCTGCAGGATGTCAACACAGAGGAACACAATATGGACATTTACTGCTGTGAAGGCCACGCATCTTTCAAATGGCTGGCTGCCTACTTGGCTTGGAGTAATCAAGCCAGAGGGATACAATTAGGACAAGTAGCACGCATAGGACAGAAGAGAGCCGCATACGGAGTTCTAGTGAAAAAAATTGAGGAAGGAGATCGCTAGGAGAACAGGACCGGATTTTGGATTGGAGACTGAATTTATTGACCACTTATAGGTCGTAACTACGAGTAACTATAACACTTTCGCTATCTCGACACAAATCACTACAACACACGCTGTCTTTTCAGTCTGCTTTCACTAGTCGTTTCCTGGTAAAGGATCTTAACAGTGGAGATTCTTCAACTGCACCGACCAAGTCGTTTCTTCACAGACTTCCTTACAGCTTACTACTGACAACTCCTGAACTTGTTTCGGCTATAACATCTCGGCACGGACCTTTCATTGATTTACTCAAAGCGTTTCAGTGGGAGCGTGTTTAGCCAGTAACGGCTGCTCATACTTGCTTATTAAGAATCTGTTGTCTAGCAGTGAATGTTGTTTAGAGCTCTGCACGCTACAGTATTAAAATGGATCTTAGAGGAATAGAATGAGGGTTTGGGACTGGATTCTTCTGGCTCAGGATAGGGACGCGCAGTGAACCTGGGAGTTACACGCCGTGCTGGAAAAAACCCTTGAATGGCTCGGCAACTGGCCGCTCCTCAAGAAGGGCTGACTCAGCTCCGAGGAGTTGGTTGGTTTCGTTACAGTTCGCAGTCGGTTTGAACGCAGCCGTCAGTGCAGGCTGCGAGCGGGTGAAAGCTGTGCGCAGATTGGGGCGCGGCCCTTGCTACAGTTTCTGCTGAACCGGGTATCATAGGTCAAGGACCACACATACAAACGTACATAAACATCACGAGCAGCCCCGCTAGCCTTGTGACGGTAACGGCGCCTCGCTGGCCGGATGACGCAATGCAATGTCGTGTAGACGCTGCCCGAGGACGGAACCGGAGCCCTGTGGCTGGGGGTCGTCCTCGGGATACTGACAGCGTCGCGTTTCGGCACGATGGACGATATTCGAGCCATCCCGCTCGCGTGCTCCTGTTCAATCACGATGATTGGGCGTCATAATGGTAACTGACGAAGCGCGTGCGCAGGCGCACGGGATTCAGGCTCTTCCGATGCGTTCAGATGTGGCGGACAGCGGACAGACCGCTCCCCTGCACACGAACCGCTCACCTTCGCACGCCTTCCTTTGTTGCTGTTATTGTGCCAACTTCAGCGGATAGAGGGTGTCGCGTGATCAGTACAACGGATCCCCATGACCGTTAATCTCGGTTTTCTAGACCGGAGCCGCTATTTCCTTGAAATAGCTTCTCAATTATCCTCACGAGGCTTAGTGGATCCCGTTCCAGACCCATTACTTCTCAGAAAATCAGGTAGTGCCGGGAATCGAATCCGGGACCTCTGGATCTGTAGCCAGGAACTCTGGCCACTAGACCACATAGGCGGTCAAAGTTGGCACTAACTTCGCCGACCAGATGCGGTCGCTTGGTCGGTATAGTTCGCTGGCGGACTACAGGCCACGGAGTTTGTTTTTGTTTGTTGTCGTTACTACTGCCATTCCTTGTACGACGCATTTTTTTTTCTCGCAGGATAGTTAAGAAATGCGAATCAGAATTGGCAAGGGAACCGAAGCACTGGGAGAAAACTTTCCCCAGTGCTACTTTGTCCACCACAAATTCCATACTACGTGACCTGGGATCGAGCCCGGGCCGTGGCCCACCAGAGCTGTGGTACGGATAATCGTTAGTTTGCCAGAAGTGGGAATTGTTAGCGGGCCCTAGGTAGAGCTGTCTGCCCTACGTGCGGTCCGGTCCGCTGGCCGCCGTCACGTCTGTACTGTGTTCCGAGGACAGCAGCAATTCCATCGTTGCCCCGTGGGCTCTGTTTCAAGGGAAAGTTGTTACTGCCCTTGTCCAGCGAGAATGTCCCGTTTACTGCAAGAAAGTAGCGTACGCAACTGGCCGGGATTTTGACCCGCAATGTCAACAACCCAGCAGCCAACGCAATGTGACGTAATGCTGCGGGATTACAATATACAGGGCGGGGCCCGTACGGAACCCCGCGGCACCTGCGTCGTCGTGTCGGTTTGTTACACATGGGAGAGATACTGATCAGGTTTTGTGACTGCCGCCTGCGCCTGCGCGTGGAGCGGATACCTTGCTACACGGCGTCACATCCCGGCCTTCGTACTGCAGCAAGTCAACAAGAGAAAGCTCTCAGCATGAGTCACTTCCATCATTTCATTTCCAGATAATTTAGGATTGAATGGGAATTATAATGAACCGAACATGAAGCCTCAAAACCGCAGCGCTATAGGGATCCTGCTTTCACCGGATGTTCCATAAATTACTGCATTATCGCAGTAACCAATATAATTATATCTTCGCCGCATATCACATTGATTGAGGGTCGGGTGACGCTTAAAACAAGTTCTGCTAGGGAAACGTGAAGGAAAGAGACCACTCGGAAAACTACGGATAGGTAAGATGATAATATTGAAGTGGATCTTAAAGAAGTGGGATCGGAGGGTGTGGACTGGATTCGTTTGGCTCAGGGTCCAGTGGCAGGCTGTTGTGAACACGGCAATGAACCGCTGGGGTTACATTGCTTCAGGAGTCCGAACAAAACGACGTGACGTGGCCTGACCCTCCTCAGCTGTGCGCCAGAGTGGCTCCCACTGTCTAGCAAGATATATCCTCGGGTTTGTCGAATGTCACTCCCACGTCTGAACCTCTCGACTGCTCCAGTCAGGCTTCCTCTGCCGCTGTCAGTTTAACATGTGATTCGAACCCGGGTGGGGACTGTTAGAAAGTGCTTTCACTAGTGTGCGAAGGAATGAACGAAGAGGCCTTCTGACGGTCTGATCCCCCATCCGAGGAAGCCCACTGCTTGCCAGAAGTAGGATTTAGAAAACCTTATATGAGGCTGTAAAATCAAGGGGAAGAAGAAGAAGGGATGTAACGCCACGTAGTCCGGTACAAGTTCACCGACGTTTCGAAGAAAATATTGCCACTATCTTCAGGGTCGAAGAGTATGTAGAAGAAGATGATTGAAAAGCAAGGACAAAGAATTTTCATTGTGACCTTATGGAATATGACACCGTGTAGTCTGGTATGCGGGTACCCACGTTTCGGAAGGACATACTGCTTCCTTCCTCTCTGGCACTGTGATAGAAACACGGCAACGTGCGGGCCCCTCATGTCACTAAGTACTTACAAAGTTCCTCTGAGTGCGTTCAGGTTGTAGTCAAATGCGCTTGTCCTGCCGGGACCCTCCAGAAGCAGGGCGCACTCGCTCTCCGAGCTGGCGACGAGGGGCGTAAACTGCGCGCAGCAGTGCGCAGATAGCAATGCGCAGACGGTGATCACCCATAATGAGCGCCTGAAACAGAACACGTCACAGGTGAATGTAGCGCCAAGGGATTGGATATGAGCAGTCAGCTTCACGTCCCGGAACCTAGCCTGGACGCTGTGCAGAAGGAACACATCTCTTGCCTCTACCGGGAATCGAACCTCGATTTCTCGGTTATCCAGCCCGTAGCCTAGTTACTATTTTGGCTCAGCTGCTGATATCTCAGTGGTGTAGGCTAAGGACTACACAACCGAAGAATCGGGGTTCTATTCTTGGTACGTGTAAGAAATTGTTCTCTTCTTCAGTGTCCAGACCGGCTCTGGGAGCCACCCAACCACAAGGTAGGTGGCTACAGTGGCTTCTTTCGGCTCGCGAAGCCTGGAGGTCTTATACATTCAGTTCGTACCTCACAGGAAACATACATTATGTCTCCGCTGCAAAGCCCAACCGGTGAATGCTGTGAGAACTATACGGAACACACAGATACACTCTGAGGGCAGAATGTATAGTACGTACATATAGGCACGGCGTTGCTTTAGACTGTGATTAAGAGTTGGCGAAGAAGAAATGGTCATCCGCTTCATCTGTTGAGATGCCACCTTGCATAATCCCCACTGTCTAACGAGGCGCGGTGAAGAACCAATTGCTTAATTGGCTTCCCGCACCGATGGACCGCAGACTGCAGCTCCGTCTCGTACAAGCCGAATTTGCAAGTCAGCAGCAGCAGACTCTGCGGCCGGGCTTAGCACTTCCTGAAAAGCTTAGCTGGACACTGCTGTGCACTGGACAGAGAAATCGATGTGACATGGTACAAACTCTTCCTTCGCTTGTCTTCAGAGCGCAATTTTGCGTCAGTACCGTAACTCTTTCTGCGTGTTCAGTTCTCGCTTAACGGACACGCCTTTGTAACGAAGAGCGGTGTGTTTGCTGGCAACTGTTATACATTATTTGAACGAACTTGACTCCTCGAAAGAAGAATGAACGGCCGGCCACTTGCTCTTACTCCCGTTACAAAGATCTGTTCTCGTGTCTTATTCAGATGGGGCTTGCAGCTCTTAATGAACTGTTCATTTATATATGTGAGGTTTGTTAAACGACGCCGTCAGTAGCTCATAATACGGCGCATGGCGTCGGATAGTGAGCTGGCAGTAAATAATGTACTGGAAACGAAGTGGATGGAAGCCGTCGTGACCTGGTTTAAAGTACTGTCTCGTAATTCTCGTGGAATGACTGAGGAAAACCGACGAATATCCTCAGAGTATTAGGTGTCTTGGCCGAAATTCCAGCTGGATACGCCCCTAATATCAGACAGACGCGTTAATGAAATCTATATTTTATGTCATGTACAAACGTGACTGCAGAGAACAGAACTTCTGCGTGCGCAAAGAACACCTACACAATGGCCCATTTGCCGGTGTGACAGGACGCCAACCTTAGCACCGCTTGCCACCCAGTGTCTCCTGGACATGCAGATGTTCTTGTTCTCACAGCCATGACCATGGAGAGGGCTATTTGTTTTCTGGGAAATTTACCGACGTTTCGGAGGTACATATTCCATCTGTTTGCTTGTCTTCTCGCTCCAATGCCTCTTCCACCGAAACGTCTGTGGAATTCTACTGGACCACGCGTTATTAATTCCCAGAAGATACTATTCCTCAGTGAAATGTACGTCGTTTCGGAGGAATCTGTTGTCAGGAGATGGAGGTAGGCGGTTTCTTCTCCATCAGATCCCAGAGGACAGAAGCCTTACCACGAGAACCTGCCGCGCATGCTCAGTCGCACTACTTTCCGAGCGACGTCCTGCCACACGCAGAGCAGGAAGTGCGGTCCTCTTCCAGTAGCAGTGCGGGTCCACTATGTAGGAGGGGGCAAGGTCATCTGGAGGCCAGGGAAAGCTGGCGAGAGCAGACGACATGCCGGGGCATCAACCGTGGAGCGAATATAATCACCGGCTGAGACATGCGGAAAGCCTAGTTCACAATGAGCTGACAATTGTCAAGACAAGCATGACGAATGGCGGTGATGATGCAGGTTACTGTCTTGTGACATGTGACGTCATGCAGACGTAATTCTCTTCTGCCCTGAAGTCAGTACGGAGAGCCTGTGAACTTCTTCCAGATTACGGGACGTCATATTACCGCTGAGCAACCAGCTGCGTCTGTTTGACCTTGGCTGTCACGTGACAGGCTGCAGGGAGGGAACCAGACCGGAGGTACCCGGTGGAGCAGTGGTGTCCGAGCAGGCCTGGGCAGCGGTACTGTCCAACAGTTTCGGTTCACCGGGCATCAATCCACGTGACGCTGCATGGTCTGGAGTCTGTGTGTGTCCTTCTGAAATATTTGTACCCTCCTCCTATCGGAATATACGGTGTCACAATAAAGATGAATGCAGGAAGAGAAATTTACGTGCAAGCTCACGTGATCCAAAGCGCACCTGCAGGCGTTTCCTGCAACAAGTGAAATTGGCAGTGGCTCGTGAGGGGGGCGCTCCTGGTTCGGAATACAGGAAACTGCAGTCGTACGGGTGTGGAACGTGGTTTCTCTCCTTACGGGAAGAAGCCAGGGCAGAATGTCTGGCGCTAAGAGACTGGAACATTGAGAAACTTACTTAATAGGGAGCTTCATAATTTGTACTTTTTCGCTGAGAAACTTACTTAATAGGGAGCTTCATAATTTGTATTTTTTCGCCTTAATTGTTATGGTCACAAAGTCGAGAATCTTAGGTCAGAAGGGCATGTAGCACGCATTGGGAAAGCTCTAGTTGCATATAGAAATTTTCTGAAGAATCGTTTGGGCCCTGTGCTTTCTCTCGCATTTTTTCCTTCTCGTATATATTATCGGATGATAAGGCTTAAGCCGACGTTTACCGCCATCTCCCACGAATACCACGCACAGTCTATCCTATATAGTATGTCCTTTATACAGCATACTACGCCTCACATATCCACATAAAAATATTGTACTCAGGAATAGACACGATACACCGCTCTCTCGTTCGTAACCTAACAAATCTCATAGGAAATTACTGTATTCTGTGATGTGACGCCGTGTATTCTGGCAGAACGTTACCACTGTTTTGGAGGAAACTTATTCGTTAATGTTCAGGGTACATACCAGAAGGCCGGAATCCCCTTATTCGCCGCTGCCAGAACTTGAAATGTCTCAAGCATAGGGTGTCCTGTAATTTACTTCACGGATTAAGGAGGCCGTGATTCTTTAACCATTCTTCATGGTAGAGAAAGAGTTCAGTGAAATTAATGTTTGTCAGTTGATTTCAACGGGCGTTTCATTCGTTGCACGACAAGGAAAGCCGTGGGGCTTCAAACTTAGAGATCTCGGAGACCGAGCGGACGGAGGCGACGCCGCGCCGCGCAATGAACGGGAGGCCAGCTGCACCCGCTGATGTGCTCTGCCGTGACAGAGGCTTCCTTGTGAAGCGAAGCTCATTTTGTTGAGCATGCAGCGAGATCTGAGTTCCCCTTTCGAGCAGCCGAAGCCACTTCGGATGCGGTCGGTAGCTACTGGCTGTCGTGACTGGAGTGTACTGCCTCCCAGTTTGCACGGTGTCACAGCCGAGAAGTTGTCTGTCTGGCTTGCTCGTTGTGTTTTGACTTTCGAATAACAGGCGCTGGCTTGGGGCCACGAAAACGAAAACAAAGCGTTCAATAACAAGTGACAAGAACTTTCTAGAACTCGAACTGAAGGCCAAGAACAAGACAGTTTCGTTCCATGCGCCCTGTAATTATGCGTGTCAATGTTGTATTGACCTCGTGCACTAATGTCTGCTAGCGATACGGGGCCTGTGGGTGCAGGATCTGTCGGCGAGGGCAAGTCACGCCATCTGCCCACCAACCCACCAATAAATGTTCTTCCTGTCCTTAAATAATTAGGCACCGCGCCATGAAGATGTAAGGGGGAGTAGAGGTATAGCTCCACACACTGCTACTCCGCTACTAGGTGGAGATGAATGGTCAGCTTGATGCTTCGGCTGTTTTACCCCGGTGGCCACAGGATGGCTGGAACACATACATACAGGCAGTGTAAGAGAAAGCGCTATTCTGTTCAGATTGGGGTGTGGGGAAGGGGGAGGGCTGAGGGCGTGTACACCTGCCAGAACCTCGAGACCCATGTAACGCGCGAGTCAGCGATGGGAAGCTTGGAGGGAAGCAACCACTCGGGAGACCTAGGAGTAGATGGAAGGCTATTAATGGAGGCGTGGACCGAGATGAACCGGCTGAGTGGCGAGGTCTTGTGGACACAAAATGCCGAGCTGATAATCAGCTTCTCAAAGAAGGTTCTGTTCACTGATACCATACACGTGATCGACAAAGGTAACGTAGTCCCTTTGTCTAAGCACCGCTTCGTGAAAGCGCATAGGGCGTATGGAGATTAAGTGCATTCTACACGCGGTACCGAACAAGTTGATGTAGAGGTCACGCGCTAGACTCGTATACCGGAGGTACTCGGTTCAATTCTCATTGAGCGTTGTGATTAGTCAGACTTGAGCTTCATGATGTGTGAAGGTCAACCGACGTTTCGGAGGAGCATATCGCCTCCATCTTCAGGGTCGAAATTCAGGAAAATTAAATGTCCAGTACTAAATGTAAAATGAAGTGTGATTCTGGAAATGAGGCGGACGGACAGACGTGTGGCAGTGACCTGTTCATGACGCCTGCCGCTGCCTTGCCGTGTGACCTTGTTCTTGCGGCCGAGTTCCGGCTGCTGTACTCTCTGGACGTGGTCCAGCGGAACTTTGCGTCGCGCATGCGTATGACTGGTCGCTGTAGAAGAGTTTCCGCCGCACTGTGATACATCTGTCTTCCATTTGTTTTGTATTGTCGCGAAACATTGGCTTCTGCTTTCGGGAAAGAACGCAAATTGAAAGTTATCTGAGTCAGTTCCAGAAATTGCAAAATTCCAGCTTAGAAATTTAAAAACTGAAACTCCACTTCGCTCTTCCATGGAAGATCGTGCACTTGGATGGATAATATTAAGGTGGATATGGGAGTAAAATGGCCGGGGCCTGAAGCTGACCACTCATCTCCAACCAGTGCCGAGGTCAAGAAGACGTGGATATATTCATACATTTCCCCATACGTCTTCATGCCGTAGAACTTAAATCGTTAAGCACAAGAGCAACTTTACCAACTTTATGGGGAGACAGATTGTTGGATCGAACTGGCTCAGGATTATGTCCAGTGGCGGGCTTTGCTATCAGCGGCGTTGAACCGTCAAGTTTGCTACCAAAGAGTTCTTAATTGCATAGTTGATACACACACTGTAATTTTGGTGTATATTTAACGGCGTTTAGTAAATATAGATGGTATTCGGCGGCAGAAGAGGTTAGAGGGTGGTATGCACGTTTAATGCAGTCGTGGCCTATTTTAGATTCTATCAGTGATTAGACTAGATTGATCGATAAAACCACGGAAGCCGGAAGCCACATCATATTCGACCCTGCCCCGTCTGCAAGTCGTGACCTCGTGCGCAGACGTGCATTGCACAACATTCTGTATCTGCTCTCCTAAGCCTGAGTTCATTTTGCTATTTTAAACTTCTATTTCTTTCGAAACAAATCCATCTGTGATGATTTATTTTGAATTGGCAGCAGATCTATTACGAATCTCTTCTTAAGTTGAAGCATCGTTCTTAAAAATTTGCGATCTTACTGAACAGTGTAAGATTTAGGCGCCTGCGCAAGCGTGTACATCGGGCACCATTGTTGCGTCCTACTGAACAGGCGCCTGCGCAGTACACTGCACTTCCTTGACCCATTTTCGAGCCTGCGGATGCACACCGCCTGTTAGAGGGAACGGACGCCGCCCGCTACGTCGTAACTGCCATGATGCCTGACTTTCCCAGTCCGACAGAGCTGTTCCTGTTACCGCTACACTGGCCTGCTCTGTGAGACTCTCCCACGGTAGTGCGATGTTGCGCCGTGTAGTCTGTTAGATTATAGCCATCATTTTGGAGATAGTGCCTTTATTGCTCTGAGGCTGGCGGGAATATTTTCCTCCGAAACGTCGATACCCACCTACCAGACTGCACTGTGTTATAACCCATAAGACGTGCCTCAGGCACATATGTTTGCCTGGTAACTTTTGTGCGGGTATGCTCGGTCCGCCAGGAGCCTGAAGGTCTGAGCTTGACGGCTCTGTCCTCTTGTGAACGCGCTCCCTTTGCGACACGCGCGTCCTCACTCCGTAAAGAATGCCTGCCAGTGTTCGCGTCTCATTGTTCTCCTGTAAGCTTTCACTCTGGTCACATCGTGTGCTGCCAACGTTAACTTTCCCGCTCTTGCGTAAGAAACTGCTTCTTCAGAAGCTGATAGTCGCTCAGCTACCCTTGGCGGAACCCTGAGCTTTGCTACCCTGTTCACATGGTCCACATGTGCAGGCCGAACCTTCACATCCTGTTTCAGTCTGTTCTGCGTCGGCTCCGTCCACTCCCGCCCTCAGCTACATTTTCCAAGTGACGTACGGCCTGTGTGTGCGCTCCTACTTTCATTCATCTCTGTCATCACCGCCCTGTATTTCACTGTATGTTCCGTCTGCCAGACTACACGGCATCACATCCCACAGCTTCGCAGTCTAGTTGATGTTGTTTGCTGTTCCTCCTGCGTACTCGGTAGCTGTGCCAATGTTCACGGCGGCACAGCCACGCTGCGGTTCCTCTTGGTGAGATGCTACCCAGTTCCCGTGATGCTGTACTCACCTCAGCAGAATGCGCAATGGACAAGACAAGGATTGTGAGGTGTAACACGATTTTACTTTCGGTGCGTCACCCGCCCTTCTTCCACACTGCAGCTGTAGGCACTATCCTCAAAGGTCGGGTCTGAAAGCACGGCCTGTAGTGTACGTTCACACTGTACGGTACGTGACGTCATCGACAGGGGAAGGGCCGTTTTAACCTCTCGTTCGATATAATTCTATGGTTTTGTTATAAAAGACCGTGTAGACATGTACACGTTTGGAAGCTAATATTAAAACTAGGTAATTTAGTGGATCATCAGGAGTTGCGTGCGGTTCGAAGAGCCACAGCCTTACACCGCGGCGTCATGACGACACACATGATGCGTCGGCAGCCAGCAAAGTGATGACCAAAGCTGCGTTTCAGTCGCCATATCGACTGCGCTACATGCTGGACGACCGAGCAATAGAGGTTCGATTATCGGCAGGAGCAATGGGTAGCGGGGTAAGGTGGCCATGTGCTTCGGTCAAGAATTGTGGAGCTACAACTTCATTCTCCCATGCGCCTTAGCAGGGGCAACTGTAGTTTTTAACTTTACACGTAGCGTAAAACGAGGGACGGGGGAGGCGCGCGTCTCTCCAATAGAAAACTTGACGCAGTTTCGAGTTGCAGAAGCTTGAAACTAAGTTTTGGTCAGTTAACCGGAAAGCCCGAGGAACTGTGTGCTGTCGGGAAATGTGTGCTGTCGGGAAATATGTGCTCCGCTTTGCTGTACCCCCCACCGCTTGTCGGGGGACCCTGATTGTGGCCAGGAGCGGGCGGTGTTGCACAACAGAGGTAAGTAAGTGGGGCGCCGCTTGTCACCGAGACGCAGCCCGTCGTGTGCACTGGTAGACCTGAGTTTGTTAACTTTTCACCCGACTGCGACTGCGTGGGCGAGTGGGTAGCTTCGCATTCGTGACATCATGGGTTCAGATCCCGACCCTTAGACATCACTAAAGCCTCTCGTGGCTTTCCTCAGTCTGTCCAGACAAATGTCGGTGTCTGTCTGACTGTCCGCGTTAAGCAACTCGGTTCCCGTTCGATAGATTTTCGTGATAGCTTCTATTTGAGACGTTAACTAAAATATGTTGACCCATTTCGGGGGCCATAACGGAGCCCTTACACCAGCAGCCAATTGGGCCTCAAATGTTAGGTTATCACGTGTTGCTCCTTCTATTCGTACCACAATATTCCATGCTGGACGTACACTTCTGTCCTGAAGAAGGAGGCATCAGGTTGCTCCGAAGCCTTGGTACTGGTGTCCCAGACTACGTACATTTATGTTGTTCACAACGTAAGATAGCAGCTCTCTACATTTCCACACCGGAAGCCGCTACTGCGATGCCCGCGTCACGTGGTTGCCTGCGGGCAGTGTTCCGTTGAGTGCAGAATGCTGCTGCTATGGCTCATAGAACTTCATTATTGCCCACTTAACTGGTTGCTGCTTTCTTTTTTTTTTGAGGGGGGGAACAAGAATGAAAAGTATTTGTGTTATTAGCTCGGGGTTTTCTCCTGTCACTGAGCGATTCTGGCTGTCCTCCTGAATCAACTAGGCCGTGCCCTGCTCGGCCCGGTTGATTCGGCCCTGGATCATCTGAAAGCCTCGACAGATGTCCCCCGCCCCCCTGCTACGGCTTCTAATTGTAAAGGAGATGTAACCTGACAGCTCTGGGGTGTGCTTCGCTCCGATAAGCACTTGGCGAGTTCCACTCGAGGCGCGCGCAGAAAAGCGTGTGGATCTTCATGCAAAGCGAAACTGGGATGTACGTTCACATTTTAGAATGCACTAATAAATACAAAATTTAATGAAAATTCGTGTGGCAAGTGACGTGGTGAAGCTATTAGGCGTTCATTTTTCAGGAGATAGGAGTAAAGCAGGACCGGCAGGGCAGTATAATGGAAGAGCAGGTAAGAAGTGGAAGTTATGGGGCTTCGCCCGCCAGTCCTTCCGATAAGGGCAGTGTAGTGGAGTGAAGCTGTTAGGATGGTTAGAAGCAGTGGCTTGATTTTCTGAATCAATGGCTAACTGTATAATTTGGAAAATAAATTTAGGGGCCTGGGGGCTCAAAGAGTCGGTGTTCGGTTACCGGAAGGGGCAAGAGATTTCGTCTCAGTGTCCAGACCGGCTCTGGGGCACGCCCCTCCAGCTGTCTAATGGGTACCGGGGGCCTTTTCCTCTATCACAGTTTTTTTTATTATTATTGTGAAAAATAACTGTAAATACAAAGAAGGCCTAGGCATTGCCGGTGACCAGTAACTCCATCAAGTGCCGAGGCTAAGAATGCGTGGAAAAATGCCTCCGTTTCCCCATCCGACTGCAGTGACAGGGATAGGTATACGTGTATGCATAGAGTTGAGAAATCGTCGCTAAACAAGGCAGAGACTCCAAACGCAGCTCACAGGAACAGGTTCCTGGCGGTTCTTCCGGGTTCCGGACGGACAAGCCGTAACGGCCACTGAAGGGTGACACGGCTAATTGCTTCCTGCGTGATTGAGAGATGCTGGTGGAACGGTGGGCCGTGAAGAAGACTGGTAACCATCCGTACCAGCTGCCTGGTAAGAGACGTGTAGCAACAGCGCCTTGGCCGGCTCGGGGCTGCGTCACATCCTGATGCTGTCGGTGACTCAAGTAACGACATGCATGACTCTCCGATGATGACGCGAGCTCAGATGTGGTTAGGGCTACAACGTGTCTTTACGTCCTCAAGTGAACGTGTCGAGAAGCGCTTGAAGAACGTTCATGAAATTCCGCGCTGGCCACTTCTACTGACATCTTTCGGTGCATTGCGCGCTAAGGTAACGTCAGACGGTAGACCGTACTGACTTGCCAAAACTGTGCTTGGTTATCCCTCCTCGAAGGGGGCACGACCCACAGTTTGAGAGACCACGACCTAGACAATTGATAGTGTCCAAGGCACTGAGCAGTTTCTTGCCTATTACGGAATGTTGCTCGCAAGGGCGCGCCACTGGACCTTGTCCTCATCCACATGAATCCAGTCTTCATACACATTTCTATCAGAACCGGTTTAATATTGTCCCTCCATTTATGTCTACATCTATCAGTTTGTCTCTTCTTTCAAAGCGGTGTCTCACTTACTGATGATTGGCGTTGTTAATAGATTTGCACCTGCCACAAGCTATCGCGAAACCGAACATCCTGTTCGAGTTGTTGCACCCGGCGTCTTATCCGGAAGGTCCCAGGTTCATATCTTCCTGTCTCTGAGACCAACTGAAGATTTCTGTGGTGTTTCTCAGTTCCTCCAGGCAAGCGCGGGGTGGAGAGTACTCTTTCAGTGTAGAGCACGTGAAGTTCCGACTTGACACTGTGTATCCTGAGCTACAGACAGCGTCTTCAAATTTTGTGGGGTGCGGGGTGGCGAAGTCCGGACTTTTGCCAACGTTCTGTTCCCGTGGAGAAGTGCACTCCTTCACAACGTCCGGCTAGTCGTTTCTTGTGACTTGCCGGCTGTCGTCAAAGTCCCACGCGGCCAGTTCACCTAATCGTCAGGCAGGGAGCACAGACTGTGCGTGTGTTGCGTGTTCTTATTCGGCTTAAGCTATCTCAGCCCTCTCCACTCGCCCAATTCAGATCGTCTGCACCGCGTCTCAGTAACCATGGATGCCAGAAATTCGCGCGTACGGACGGACTGCACGTGATTCCTTGATGAGCATCAAAAACGAAAATGTCCCTTGGTAAAATTCGAGCCACGCATAATTTTCGTGGAATACGCATGCGCCATTTATCCGACATTTATTGCGAAAGTCATGCTTCGACGATAAAATCGCCTCAGTAAATCGCGTGGGGCCCAGCTGTAGGCTTGTATACGGGACGTGTTCCGTACGAATTTCGCCCGGAGCACCGCCTATCCCCACCGAGGTGCCTCCAAGCAACTGCCACAACAATTCCTAAAATTCGGCCACGACCCCTTGCTTGCTTTCCACTTTACTGTTTATCTGTCCTGCCGTTCGGCGCCGTGCAGTGTAGATACTGACAGCATCGCACATAAACTCGAGTTTCTGGACATTCTGTATAAACAGGCTGACGTACTGAGCGCGCACACACACTCACACGCACACAATTGCACATCCATCTGATGTCTGTTTACACAACACGACGTAACGCTTTCCGGAAGCATGTGGGAAGCACTTACTTCCCTTTGAATCCTGTGCAGAAAGGGAGAGTGCAACGTAACGCTGCGAGGAGATGTGAAGA